GGACCAATAAAAGATTCAAACTCAAAATCGAACCAATTAAAATTACAAAAATAAAAACAGCGAAGCAAAAAAATAAAAAATAAAAAAAAGGAATTTTCGTATTTTGGCAAAAGTCCGAGAATATGGGTGAAGAATGTAGATGAGGAGGTTGTACTAATGGAGAAGAAGATAGGTCTTGAAAGTGCTAATGAACGGACCTGATTTCCTGAGTTAATGCAATTTTTATAATTATAAAAATAAGGAAATCAGAGTTGATGTCAGTATGATAATGCCTAATTAAATGTTGAAATAGGAAAAATAAAAAGAGGAATAAGTGTATAACGAAAAGTATTTTCCACACTAACCACGACATGATGTGATACAACACAATAATACGATAAATAAATGAGTCAGCTTAGTGCCAAATTCGCATAACTCAAAATTAATACAAATAATTTGTTTAATAAAATATTTAGTTACACATTTTAATGTTATTTAACATATTTAAATCCTTTATGAAAAACCTATTCTGTTGAATAAAAATCATGTAGAATAATATAATTTTTCATTTTTCATTTGAGATAATTTGATATTTTAATTTATTATTTTGGAATCAATGTAGTAAACAAAAAATAATAAATAATTGAGTTTTAGTTTTTTCAAATTGGATAAATAAAATTGAGTCAAAATTAAACACTTTCATGAATTATTTCATCTAGCACGATTAGTTTAATGAAATTTAACTATGAAAAGAAAAAAAAGGTTTATATAAACTTTATATTTTTAACGAAGGACAAAAATTTTGTCATAACAAACTAACATGATACAAATTTAAAATGACACGTTAGGGGTTGAATTAGTATTGCATGAATTCTAACACTAATTCTAGATAACACGACATGAACATAATTAACACGACATAATTCTCGCCTGCAATAAAAGGATAAGAAAAAGAAAAAAGTTATACGCACCGTTTGGGAAGATGTTGGTTGGGCTTTTTTGGCTATTTTAGCCACAAAAAACAAAATAGGCTATTTTAGCCATAACAAACAAAACATCACATCCAACCCATAATCATTACACTCTTCTCTCACAAAAAAGTCAAAAAAGCTAAAAAGCCAAAAAGCCCTTCCCAAACCAAGCTTTTTAGCTCAGGTTAAAATAGCCAAAAAAACCAAAAAGCCAAAAAGCCAACCCACTTCCTAAACGGAGGCTTAGTATACTAATTAGTATACTAACGGATGATGTGTCATAATTTAGAGGCTTTGGGTCTTGTAGTTTGTATAATTGGTAGAGTCCATAGTTTTGAAGTGACAATGTCATAGCATTTATTCGTACACTAATTAGTATATCAATCAGTGCATGTAGCATTACTCTAAAAAAAATTGTCAATCACTAATGTTTTAAAAGGTTCTATTTTTTTGCGAATTAATTACTAAAGGAAGGCTTGTAGTTACTATCTTTAGTGACACGAATTTAAATCACAAAAATAATCTCTCTAAAAATTAAGATAAGACTGTATATAACTTATCCTTCTTAAATCCTATTTTAATTGGAGTTTCGTGTGTTGACCTACCCTTTAATCACTGAAGCAAGGAAAATAAATTTGGTTAAAAAGAGCAGTTATTTGGTGTGTTGTGACAATGATGCTGAGGTTATCACATCATTAACTAGTGTGACCCACACCAATTGGTCATTAGAATCCATTGTAAACCCAGAGGTCATATGTTCAACCCTGGCATACAACAATTTACTTAAAAAATTCTATCATTTCATTTGTTTGAGAAATTTGATTTGATAGGACCACATGGTATTGCACCTAGGGAAAAGAAGGGACTGATGATCCGTGACTAATAATCCATAGGGAAGATATTGGGATTTGGTTTAATGGTTTAATAATAGTACCTTAGGGTGTGGTGAGAGAGGTTAAGAGTTTGAACTAGTGGAGCAGTAAGAATTTTTTCAGTTGTAATATAATTATATTAATATAGTAGCGTTATCTTTAGTAAAAAAAGAGAGAAAGGAACGAGAAAGTTGTTCAAATCGGTTCGGTTTTCAATTCTAGACCTTTGGTTACGTGTCAAGTTTTTTTAATTGGTAATCTCATTAGACAAAATTTTTTTCAATTGTAATTTTATTCGATCTGTTTGTTTCAGTGAGGTTATGAGTGTTTAGATGTGAATCCAACCCGAATTGTATTCGTGTAGATGAGTTTGTGCTGATATTGCATACCTTGTTTGCCACTTCGTTGATTATGTACAAGCAGCGAAGGCGGGGTCGAGGGGCAATGCCCAGAAGCAAAAAGTGAAAGTTGTTTGATCGCTTGAAAGATCATTTGTGCGCTCGAGCAGTGATATGATATATCTAGTATTTCTGTCTACAAACTGAACGAGCGGTAGATGTTGCGCTCGAGTGGTTGGCCTATATGTTTTCACATCGTTTTTACTCACATCGCTCGAGTGGTGAAGTGTGCGCTCGAGCAGTCTTCACTACTTTGTTTTCTGTAAAGTGCACCGTTTGCTCGTTTTAGGGTTAACCTGTCTAGATTCTTAGAGAGGAAGAGAAAACAACGTGTTTTATATTGGATGGTGTTTTATATGAGTTTCCTTGATGTAAAAAAGGTAATTGATTGATCAACAAACTACAGATTATTAAACATTAAGGGTTGTTCTTATTGTTTCGTTCACAAAAGAGAGAGATGTTATTTGGTGGATTCCGAGGAACTTAGGCTTGAAGCTTTGGTGCATGCCAGAATGTCTCATTGTCGTGGATTCAATATCGGCGTTGTGGATTTAACGTTGGGTAAGACAATTCCAAGATGAAGACGGTGGTGGAAGATGTACATTGGGATTGGTTCAATTTTATCATATTTATTGTTATACAAAATTTCTAAAACTGTAAAACCTAATTAAACCAAACCAATTTTTATGGTTCGATTCTGATTCAATTCCATAGATTTAACAGTTCGGTTACTATTTACTCTAAAACTAGACCAATTGAATCTGTGAACATCCCTATTGAAACCATTATTTGTAATTTTAAAAAGTTATTCTTAATCGGTGTCTTAAGATTATATGTCAGGGGGGAACTCTGTGCATTTATTATGTATTTATGTGGTGTATGTTATGTATTTTTGTGATAAATGTTATATAATTTTTTGGTAGAATTATGATAATTTATGGTTCAGAACTGAAATTACACATTTTTGTAGTAAATAATACATTTTTTTATCTAGTCATTTTCTAGCCAATTTTTTTTTAATAATTATTGAATTGATTTAATTTTTTTTATGAATAATATATACAAAAAGTCTTAAATAATAAATTGTTGAGATTATCAAAACAGATCCTAAGATAAATTTTACAGATCTGATAGGGCTTCTCCAGCCTAGATGAGAATGGGCCTCCTACATTTTAATAATAGGATGTCATATTCCCCTGCCACTTTTTAATTTTTTTTTCATTATTATTTCCGAAGTCCACCATTTGAAGGATCTAAAAAAAAAAGTTTAAAAAACCACTGGTTTTTACTCTTTTTATTTATTTATTTCTAGTGGATTTTTTTTTATAGTTTTTTTTAATTGTTTTATTTTTCTAATTGAGTAAAATCTAAAAGTATAATTTTTTTTTATAAAAAAAAATCATTAAAATAAAAAAATTATTAAAAAATAACTAAAAAACCAACTCCAAATGCCCACGACCACAGATTATATCAGATACCAAATAATAGCATTAAACTTTAGTTAGGAGAGTTTTTTTTGGTTCTTATGCATCCCTAATGCTTCTGCATCCCAAGATCTTATGGAGATCAATCTTATGGATCATAATATGCTTAACATCTGCTTCTACAAACAACATTTAAAAGAAGTAACAATTTATTATTTAAATCACAGTTTTGTTCACCAGACTTGATATGATATATTTATCAGGTTGCCCAATTATTTAAATCACAGTTTCGTTTCTTTTACAAACCCTCTGCAAGGCCAAAACTATGAGAAATTTTTGTATGCATATAGGGTACCAAATGACATGCTTATTTGGTGCCCTCACCAATCAATACTCAACATAACGTTAGTCAAAGGGATATGGTAATGTGTCTCCTGCGGGCCCAGATCAAGTACATGGTTCCACCACAGAAATGGTCCGCTGCATCATTCTGTAGCTTGGTCGGCCTCACGGTGCCATCTGGTCTTGGACCAAACTCCTGTTTAGCCCACTTTGGAGTGGGCAACTGGTCTTGGGCTGGACCTCCGCTCGGCCCACTTCAAAGTGTGACTAGTCCTGGATCATCCCTTTGCTCGGCTTTGCTGGCGGCTTGGTCCGCTTTGTATTGTTTGTAGGGCTAGGTTTGTGCCTAGCTTTACAATTAGGAGTGTGTATATAGGTGGCCATTGAATTATATAGAGTATCAATTAGTTTATATAGTTCAATTAGTGGTATATCAGCTAATCATAATAAAAAAAAAAAATCTTAAATTAGAGTTATAACATTTGGCTAACGGCTAGATCTCCTACACTCAACTAAAAATGAAGTGTTCAACTTTTGATTCAAGCTCAACTTCCCTTATCTAAAGGAGGGCATTCAATGTACTAAAATTTTCTTTTGAAACACGGATTTCAATTGCATTACATGCACATAATAATAATAATAATAATAATAATAATAAGGAAAATGTTGTAAGTCCCAAATTTTCTACCAAATCAATAGCCAAATGTCTCACATGGATATGAAGTCCATAAAAATATGGACTCCACAGACGTTTAGTCATTTATTTGGTAACATTACCCTAACAACAATAATAATAATAATAACAATAATAAATAGAAGCAAATGAACAATTAGATGCCTTTCACAATATTTTAGATTATATTTATGTTGGGTGTACATTAATTTATAACATTCTATAAAAGAATGAAAGCATACAAGTGCTGTGAATCTAACGCATCAAATTACCAGAAATGCCCACTGAGTGTTCACAATATAACCTTCTGCCCAAAGAACTGACTTACGTGTCTTTTGCAACTCTTCTCTTCTTTCCAATTTTTTGGTGTACGTCTCTTCTTGGCCTTGCGCTGTTTGGGTGAAGCTACGTGTAACAGAACCACGTGCAATCTCAACCGATTGCCCAGCCAACCCAAGCCCACCATCTCTCCCTCTTAGAATTTTATTGTGTTTCGGTGGATCAAAGTTGCAATCAAACGATTCTCTCTCTTGATGTGCTCCCAATGAACCCAAGCACAAAATAAATTATCGACCAACAACGCTGCCTGTTAAGCAAAGATTTTTATGTTGTCCAAAGAATTCAATATGGCGATGACTGATTCTACAAATCATATCTACTTTGTATATGATTTCAAATTCATCTCAAACTGCACAGATTGTTAAAAACCTTAGATTTCTTTTTGCACATCAACCTATCATGGCTTCCAATTTCGTTTGTGTGTGTGTGTGTGTTCTTTCTATTCGGATTTGTGTGTGTGTGATTTGAATTTTTATCTTTACTTTGCTTTTTTGCAAAACCTGGGAATTTGAATATGCCTAATTTGTATATTTTGTTTTGTGTTTCTTCAATTCGAGAATTAAACACACCCATCTCTCTGTATATTCTGGTTTAGTGTGTGTCTCTTTGAATATGCCTAATTTGTACATGCCTAATGGGTTTAGTGTTTGTTTTTGTGTTTTGCGTGTGTAAATTTTGGATTTAGTATTTTGTTTTGGGTAGTGATTTCATTTGAAATTGATCCTTAGGGAGCTTAGGGAATGACCTAGTAATTTTTAAAATGTCTGCCTTATTTTATTACTTTTGGTATCTTGCTTTCTCTTTATCTGGTTCATTACAATTCAAGTTTTTTTTTCATGTTACAGGTTGCTATTTTTTGGCAGTACAATGAAATTCTCGGCAAAGGAGCTTTTAAATACAGTGTGAACCTCATTTCCTCATATTGTTTTGAGCTTTCATTGTGCATAATATTTTCCTAACTTAAATATATATATATATATATTGGTTTGTTCTTTGTGTAGTTTTAGAGCATTTGATGACTATGAAGGGATTGAATTACAGTGGAATCAGGTGAAAAGATCTATAGAGGTTGTTTTGTGAAATTCATTACCAGAAAACACAATTACATATTCTTTAATTTTTCCCTACCTGGCTTTCTTCCTGCAGTTTGCAGTTAAAAATATTCATGATAATGATTAAATTTTGGTTAGTTGGGGTTATACTTTTAGGCTTACACTGTAGGAATCATTCTTCAATAGTTAACAATTGGAGGTAGAGAACTCAACGCTTGAGAGAGGAGGCATTGCTTATAATACAATTTTGTTATATAACAGTCGATAGTGGCCACAAGAGACATGGTTCATTCTTGACGTTCTCTAATATGAGTTGTGCATTTTAGTTTTTCTTTTTCTTCATATTTGTTGACACCGATAAACCAATTTTAATTTTAAGATTGTTTTGTATTGAATTTTTTCTGGGTCAAAAAATGTAAGGTTCTTTGTTTGTTGGACTTTTGTGAGCACTTGGAATTTGGTTAAATTAGTGTTTAGTCGCTTTGTATTTACTTTCCCACCACAAACACTAATCTTAAAATGTCGAGTTACCAAGTATAATTTATGTCAAGATTGATTTGTTTGACCTTGGTTATTTAGGTAATGGATTTAAATTTTGTGCCAGCTAAAGAAAGCAAGAATGGCATTTCTACCAATCATTGCTTCAATCACTCAGTTGGTCATCTCCCTCATATTCAAAAGGTACTTCAATTCTTGCTTATTTTGCAGCCTATGCATACATAATAAGCACATGGTTTGATTACATTATTTTTATCATGCGCCCTAATGTAAATTCTGAAAATAAATAGTAGATTGTTGATTCTTTTCCAAAATAGCAAATAAATTTACCAAACATTTTTACGAAATTGTAATTTATTTTGGGTTTGCTTTAATTAGAGTGGTGCTAAATATTGTTACACATGCAATATATTGAACACCTTTTTGAATAATATCATTCCCTTTATTTTGGGTTTGGAACTTTCCAGCTAAAACCTTGTGATCAATCCTTGAGAGGATCTTGCATTTATTGGATTAATCAATTGATTTGTATTGCAAGTTGTAATGTATTAATTTGTTAGATTAATTAATTATTAAACTGATGGAATTGATCTATGTTGATGTTTTTCTGGATTGATTCCTTAATGCTAGGTTGATGCTTAATTATATAAATTGTGTTTGAATTTCCTAATGGAGCTACTAAATTAATACTTGCCCTGTTGGGTTGATGTTGATACAGTGGAAGTTTGAAGAGGTAATGATGATGAAAACGTGGCAATAGGGCTACTTCATGATTCGAAAGGTTAGTTTGGTTTTGCAATCTTCTGGCACCAAAATTTTTCTCAATTAACAAGAGTGTTTGGTCTTATGTGTTTTATTGTAGTCGCTTTTTCTTGCATATCCCTAGGCTCATGAAATTGTGCATATTCAATAACTTCGGATCAAGTAGCATCAAAAAGTAGTATTCATTTGTCTCCCCATTGGCTTTATGCTAAATCGAGTGAGACTACGATGGTGAGTTCTATATGATTTGATGATTGTAGCTCTGTTTTTAACTTAACGATAACCTTTGATGCCTCTGTTATGTGTACCATTTTATATCTATAAAGGTGCAAGATATACTAATTTAATGATGGGTTATTTACACGGAGAGCCCTTAAACTAAATACATCAAAAATCAAAATATTAAGAAATAGTTTTCGTGACAATGGAGTTCAAATGGTCAAATATTTCACTCCAATGCAGATAACTAGCATATTAGCTTGCATAATTAAGTTGGTCAATGTATTCGCTTTATTTTTGCCTATGAATGATCCACAATTCTTAAATCATGTTCTATGGTTCAATTTTTGATCAATTTGGCTTGTAATTTCAATTCATACAATAAAGTCTATAGAATTTAATGACAATTTATCGTGTATTTGCCTCACTCTATTATTCCTAGCCAATTATAGTGCAATCACCATGGATTATTCCTAGTCGATAATGGCGCGCGTAGGGGTCCAACTAGTCTTAAGAAAATACTTGAATATATTTAATAGCTTGTATGGGAATATGAAATGGTTTTTAGAGGTGTGTGATTTAGAGTAATGTTATGGATACTAAAATTTTTACCAAATGTCCCACATGGGGTGAGTCCCACATAAGTGTGGAGTCCACATCTATGTGAGACATTTAGCGTTTGGTATTGTTTATGTTTTTTGGTTTATGTTTACAAAATTTTTATAAATTAGTTTTTGTTTATTTTTAGAAAAACATAAACTGTAAACATATTTGGTTTGAACAAAATGTTTGAAATTTTTTAAAAACATAAACTAAAAAATATGTTTCTTTAGGCCTAAAATATTTATGAAAAACCTAAGTGATTCGTGATTAGATCAAGAATAATTGTACCAAATCCCAAATGATTAAAACCAACAATCTAAATCATCTAACACATACGAAATTGATTTAGATTGTCGTTTTAGAAATAATAAATCGACACAAACGATATTTACGTGGAAAAACCACAATTAGAACACATCCAATTGTGATTAAAAAACTACAGGCAAAATGCCACTGAGCAATCCACTATGAAAGGAAAAAATAATACAAATTCTACCAAACAAATTACCCAAACTCTGACAATTTGTTTTCAACAATCTGTATCTCTTTCACCGCAGCCTTCGTCTCAGAATTGATCAATTTGATGTTGAATCCACAACATCCATTGTCGAATCAACGACTGCGCACAGAATCAAACTCCTTCGCATACTCCACGCTTGAATCTCCAGATTCCACCGAAGAAGAACACTCTTGAAGTCAAATAATCAAACAACTCTTTGATGTATGCTTATCAAACTATGAGTATAATACTCAATCAAACATCAAAGAAAACTCGCAAAAAAGCCCCAGAAGAAAACCCTAAAACCCTCAAAGAAGATCTGGAAGCCGTAACCCTAAAATAGGACTGAAACACAAATTTATATAAAACAAGGCTGCGATGGTCGCTCGAGCAAAGGATAGCTCGCTCGAGCGAGGAGACAGATACGCGTGAACCCTATAAGTGCCTTCGGTCGAGCCACCAAGATGTTCGCTCGAGCGCACAAAAACCATTCCCAGTATTTTTGCAAACAGAGCAAAGTATTGGGACAAAGACATCTTCGCTTGAGCCAAGAGTCCTTCACTCGAGCGAGCAAGACACAAACCCACGAACATTTACAACTCGATAAGTAATGTTTGTTCGCAGAATTGACAAGACTAAGGGACCTAACAATCTCCCCCTTGGTCAATTTACCGACAAAACATTCTAACAAGGCTTCCTAGTTAACACATGCACTAGACTAAACAACCAACCAAACAAAACCAACTAATCTAAATCAACAGCCTTGATGAAATACCCTACAAAAATATATAAACCAAACCACTGGGAATAGATAAAGTAATTAATATCAAGACATAATGAATCCAAACAATATCCCAAACATATATTATCAAGTATACTCCAGAAAAATAAACCCCAACCATCATGCCAAATATACCAAAATATACTCCCCTTTTTTGACCGAGAGAGACAAATAGAAGAGGATATACAGGCCAAACTGGCCAAAACAAAAACAAAAACAAGATAAGCAAACTATCCAAAATGAAGAAGGAAAAAAAAAAGTCACCGCGAGCATGGTGGAGGCTGCTGTGGCATCTGTAATAGAGAAAGGATCTGAGCAAGCATCGCGGTCTGCTGATCGAGGCAACCATCAAATGCATCTAACCGGGCATCCAATTGATCAAGGTGGTGTGTGATAGACTGCTCAAACTACTGCAGCTGGCCATGAAACGAACGATGACGTATCTCAGGTGCACCGGCAACAGCCGCATCAAACTCTGCCTCCTTGGCAAGAGGATCATCACCTACACCAGAATCCCCAATCCCGGACCACCCCTTGACATGGGCTTGACTCTGGGAGACAATTTGATTGGTGACAGGTTTAATTGGCGAAACAAACTCATCATCGTCACAAGTAGGAATACCTAGAGAAGTGAGAAAACGGTTGATCAAACACCTATAAGGAAGACCCAAAGACTTACGACCTTTAAACACATCAATCATCTTGGCTACAATCATTTTAGAAAGGTGATGTTGACGCAGTGGGCAATGCAATATAAAACATAACCCTGATCTTGGGTAATGTTTGAGGAATGAGTGGTGACATGAATGTTAGCATAAACAATGATGTTGAGAAGGCAGTAACGGGGAAAACGCTCATTTTGCCGAGTGAGCGCCCCGGTGATCCAAGTCTGGGGAGTGCCATATAATTCAATGGTGACCAGATCAAAATCTGCGATGTTGCGAGTAGCAAGGAAATGAGAGTGGCAGTTCCTGACTTCAGGGAGACTAAGAAACCTCCTAATGACACCAACATTAATGTCAATCGTTTTATTGTGAACCTAGGTTTGAAAGGATGAAACTATCTCCTTGTCAATGGAGTGCATATTGCAGTAAAATTCCTGGACCCAACTAAAATTTTGTGGGCCGAAGAAAAGGAGAACCTGATCACCCCCCAAAGCATCAAACAAGGAACGGATATGAATAGACTCAAAAGTACTAGGTTGGATATTTCGCTCTAAGTGAACTTTTCGAGAAAGATAAAAGTCCCGATATAGGTTGGATTTTGCTCCTGAGGGGAATTTGGCTTTATTGAACAAAGGACGGGACATGGTGGTTTTGCGGTGTTTGGAAGGCTCGGCCATGACGAACAAGACTGACAGACATATAGGAAAGACCACCACAAAGAAAACCCCAAACCCATCCCATGACAGCCCACCAGGTAAAACCCAATACCCAATTTGCAACCCCCATAAAGCAAATCAAAACACAAATATCATTAGTACTAAAGATACAAAAACAAATAAATGCAAGACAATAGCAATACAAAACCCACAAACTAAACTTTTAAGCCAATAATTTCAATCACAACAGTAGCTCAGAACTGCAACCTCACGTGTGTAAGCATCAACTATCAAAAACAACTCCTTAAACCAAACTAAACCCACACAGAAACCAGCAAGAGGGCAGCAGGGTAATGGAACCAAAACCAATTAAGCGAATAGGCAGGTGTATGGCAGTGTAATGGAACCAAAAGTAATAAAACAAAACGGCAGGAAGGCAGCAGTGTAACAAATCAAAATCAGACCAAAACCCTATCACAACACAGTGACAAGATGCACAAAGTAAAATAAAGAAATAAATGCACAAGGGAAGCAGAAAACAGAGGATGAGAGAGGGAATAGGAAAAAAACACAATCTGAAACCCTAAACAGCACTGCCGAACCACAGCAACACATAGAACCAAAGATGATGTACCAAAAATGATGAGATGAGAGAAAAGCTTACCAAAACCTAAGGAGGTGAAGCAGATAGAAGAGATAAAACACCCTGCCTTGTGTAATCTAAGTGATGAATAACAAGGGAAATGAAATCGCCCTAGGAGAGAGAAACCAATCGAGCAAAAAGGGAAAAAAATGGGACTAAAGGGATAGAGTTCAAGTATTTAAACCAAGACAGGTCGCTCGAGCGAGAAGTTCGTCCCTCGAGCTAAGACACTTAAGCACACAGGGTCACTCGAGCCAAAATAGTGTCGCTCGAGCCAAAAACACACACTCTCAGAATCTTGAGCAACCTGAAAAAGTACTGGATGGAGGAAAAGTTCGCTCGGGCACAAACTCTCTCACTCGAGTGAATGAGATAAAATAAAAACACCCTGAAAGCACCCTTCTGAGCAGGGGGAAAAAAAAAACACTCACACTGTCAAGTGAGATTGAAACCGGGGGGGATTAGCACATTAGCAGAAATGTGACGCCAAGATGAGATAATCCACGAAGCATGAACCCTACAAACTCGCAATTTTGACAATATGAAGCACAATAGCATGAGCAAATCAGGTAAACATCAATCCATGATCATAAGCTACATGAGAATACACAACTCAAAAACAAACATGATAGCTCACATAAAGAATATGTGTGTGTGTGTGCAATCCTTGAGAGGCTACAGAGCTAGAGTTAATCCTTGTAGTGATCAGACGGTTAGACCTCTGGCGAGAGTTACTAAACATCACTGAGAAAAGTCAAACTGCTAGAAATCAAGGGGTATTTGTTAACTACAAGCGGAGGCTCCCCCTTAATCAATGAGTCATTTTTTTTCAGTTGAATTTTAACTTTTCTTACTTCTGGGCACTCACTGGTGGCATGTATGCTCAATAGTGTGGAAACCAAACCAGAGAAGCATGGAATTAATAAGGATGTCATGGTTGGTGTCTCTAAGGT